TGAGGCTGAAAAAAAGTTGAAAAGAGCTCTCAATTTCTTACATGAGTGATGTTGTTTGATTGCATGAAATCAAACTTGATTAGAGTCATGGCACCAGTAGGTGACTGGACATCATAATTCCTTCACTTTTTGGGGCTTTTTTTTTTTTTTGAAGTGTGGCTGCTTATCCAGATATGGAATTGAATGTGCACACAGAAGTGAATGTGACATCATGCAGAAATTTAAGTCTTTGGGGAAACTGTATGCTACCACACTATAATTCAGTCTCATTGAGTTTTTTCCTTGTGGTCAAATCATACCAGCATGACATTGATTCTGCTAAACAGCCTTGTTAAAAAAGCAAGGAGCTATTTATATAAATTAAATGTCTTAAAAGATTCAAGGGGATAGTTAATTTTTAATTTAATTATTACCAGCAAGGCTTAATTATAGTCTGTGCACGAATGGAAATTCTGTGGAGTTAATCTCACCCCTTTTTTCACAGGAATTGGAAATCAAGAAAATGGCTAAGACTGGCAACAAAGAGGCCTGCAAAGTGCTGGCAAAGCAGCTGGTGCAGCTGCGGAAGCAGAAGAACAGAACCTATGCTGTGAGCTCCAAAGTCACCTCCATGTCCACCCAAACCAAGGTCATGAACTCCCAGATGAAGATGGCAGGAGCTATGTCAGCCACAGCAAAAGTAAGGCACCACAAGATATTCTGTTCTATATACACATGCAGCATATGGTTGCAAAAATTCTGTTATTTTGGGTAATTTTTGGTAATTGCAGTACTAAAACTCACTTGGGTTTATATTGTTACATTTTTGTTTGGTCAATCTATCCATATAACACATACATACTTTCTTGGGCTGGACATCTGTCAAATGTTTACATGACAAAAATAAACTAATGCCAGTGAATGAATTCTTTTAGTACATAAAAAACCCCAAACCCTGCTGCTACAGTGCCTTGCCTGTATTTATTGTCACAAGCAGTTTTTACTGGGAAAAAGTAGGGCATGATTTGTCGAGAAATCAAGGCACTGTGTCACAATAGCTTTATGGCTTTTGAAGAAAGTAGGTTATTGCTTTGGATCTAAAATTCCTAAACAAATCTAATCTGGAGTTTGCTGTCATTCTCTCTGTGCTCTCTCAGGAAAGAGTATTGCATTAAGTTTCCTCCCAAATCTCATCTCATGAAAGAGTGAAAAATCTCAATTTTCCGAGTTAGGTGTGAACTTTCCCTTATTTCCCTGAATTAATTAAGAGGGATTTGGCTTTTGACAAGGAGCACTGTTCAGCTCAAGGTGCAGGAAGCAGAATTATTGTGCATCACTGTAGGCCAAGCTGGGCTTTGATCCCAGTCCAAGTTAAATCCAGTTAAACCCAGCAATGCAACTCGGTGCAGAAAGGAATTACCACAAAGGCTTGGTGGGCAGGTGCCTTTCAGACACAGCATGAGGGCAGATTCCAGCCAGCCACTGACACAGAGCTGTGGCTCTGCAGCAAATTTACACATTGGACTTGTCTGACTGATCAGGTTCAGCTCCTTACTCAGTATTCTTACAACAGCACTCGTGAACAAGTTAGTCCTGCTTTTTAATTATTACGTGAGTGACTTGTTTTTATCTGTGACAGATCTTAGATTAAATTTCTCAAAACTAAAGTCACTGGAGTAGTTAGGAAGATTAGGTCAGTAGGAAAAAAAAATCTAAAAATATTTTTTAACAGCAGATAATTATATGTACTATTTGTGTAACGGTATTGGAGAAAAGGTCTTATATTCTTTTGATCACTTTTAAAGTGAATATTTTGCTTTATCAATGTGGGAAGCTTAAACTATTGTTAATCTCATAAAACCATCAGTGAAGAATGTGTGGGACCAGTTGCCTTAACAAGGAAGGCAAATATGTGAATGCAAAGCTTTCAAGTATGTATACTTTCAGTATACTTCATAGCATATATTTTGCTAATTTTGAACTGGTAATAATGTCCAGTTAAGTTGCCTGTTTATTTTATTCATACATCTGACCTTTATTTTCTGAAGATCTGTAAACTCTCTATCAGTGCAGATATTTTTGACATCCATTTATACCAACACCTTCCAAGTCCAGAACAACTTCTTAAATTCAAATAATGCAACCATGAGCACTGTCTTGGAAATTCAGCATTAGTATCATAGAACATTATCACCTTGAAGAAACTCAGACATGAAGGCAGAAGCCCTTCTGTGAAGCCTGTAGTGGCTTCATTCCATCTTTTTTAATTGACCAAGTCTTTTATCTTCTCACAGATGGTTAAATTTTACATTTGTATTGCTTATATCTGTATTTAGAATCTGATATCCCACAGTGACTTGCTTTTTAGGAAAGAGGGAAGTACCCCATAGCAGTGCCCACAAAGGCAGTAAAATGGGTGAAGTTTATTTCAGTGTCACAGCAAGATCTTCACCCATCACACAGGTGCACCCTAAACAAGTACTTCCTCAACACTTGGATATTTTCTTTCCAGAGAAAAGTAATTTTTCCATTAAATTGTAACATCAAGAAAGAATTTAAGGCCTGTCCTCCAGTGCTGGTTCAAATAAATTCTCCTTTCTGAATAAGAAGCTGCAGCCATTTATTTCTTTAATGTGTGTAGCCTTCAAGTTAGGAAATGTTCTCCATTCTTTTCATTGAGATCAGTTGGATTTTTCCTAATACAAGGCCAGGGGAAGGTCATGGTGCCAGAAAGATGCACGCATTTAAGAGTCTGTCTATTAGGACACTAAATAGCAATATTTCTTACTAAGTGCAGGCTGTACTATTGATACTTATCTAATGTTCTCATGGGATGTAGAGAGACAAGGAAAGTGAAATTTGGATTAAAGCATTTTTCTTAATGAATGCACTGATATTTACTAATGTCTCATTGTATGATTTAAGAGTTTTTTCCATATTAATAGACAATGCAAGCAGTTAATAAGAAAATGGATCCACAAAAGACACTACAAACTATGCAGAATTTCCAGAAGGAAAACATGAAGATGGACATGACTGAAGAGATGAGTAAGTTCTGCACTGCAGGGGACAGCTGGTTGCTCTTGGCAGTTTGAAATTTATTTCTATAGTCAATGAGACTGACAGCAAAAATGTAGAGCAGACAAAACAATGTATGTCTGAGTAGGAAAGCTGAGCCTTAGACTTCTTAGAAGCTCTAGGTATTAAATCTAGAATCCATTCCTTCCCATCTTCTGCAAAATATTCATCATATTTTTAGAAGGAACATTCTGGGGGAAAGAAGGTTTGAGACCCATTCAAGGCCTTGATGGCATAACTGGTAGAAAGACTTGAAATTTTGCCTTAATTTAGATACTGATAATCTCAGCTCTCTGCACATGGTGGTATGATATGGTTCTGTCTCCTTAATTTAAGCCACAAAAAACTTTTTGGGGAGGCAGCAAGTTCCTTGTTCCTGCATGTATGTGCTCACTGTCAGCTAATTCCTGGTGTTGCTCAGAGTCTTCTCCCCATCCCAATCCCTGCCCTGTTGGTCACATTAAGTAGCATGGACTCAAACCAAGATGGAAACACCTCAACTGCACACAAGTTATCTGAGTAGTTAACAACTTTGCAATGTACTTGGAGGAAGAGGAGAGGAGATTTTTATGAAACCATAGGTATTTTGCAAAAATTTTAAAATCTAATGTGGGGGGATATAGAGCAGCTGAACTCTTTAGGTGGAACTGAACATTTTTATAAAAAAATCCAGCCATGCCTTACCCTGTTGTTGCCCTGGCTGTGCTCACAGGCTTTGCAAGGCAGAGCTAAGGAAGCCTCTCTCACACCCAGGTGCCTTCTGCTGCCATCTCACACTGTGCTATTACTGCTGTGTTCTGGGAGGGAAACATGATACTAGGTCATGTTAGTCCCTTTTTGCTTAGTGCAATCTGGATTTTTTTGTTTTCTTTCTTCTAAGTTAATGATACTCTGGATGACATTTTTGATGCTTCTGATGAAGAGGAAGAAACCCAAGATATTGTTAACCAAGTGCTTGACGAGATCGGGATTGAAATCTCTGGCAAGGTATGGCTGGTTTTGTTTCCCCCCACATTCCATTTTTGAAACACAGTTTATTCTCAAAGTCAGCCTGTCATAACCTGATTGTTGTGCTGAACCTGTGTCCTTGCAGATGGCCAAAGCTCCCTCGGCCGCGCGCGGTTTGCCCTCGGCGTCGGCCTCGAGCGCCACCACCATCTCGGACGAGGAGATCGAGCGCCAGCTCAAAGCCCTGGGCGTGGATTAACCGAGCCAGCTCAGCCTCTGCTGCTGGGGCCCAGCCCTACACACACGTGCAAAGTGCAAATACTCTTTCAATGCAACTCATTTCCAGCAGAACCCTGAAGTCTCGGAAATGCCGACTTGAAGATGAATTTGCAGAGAAAAGTACTTCTTTTTTTATCCATCGCATGAAGCCTTTTTGACTCAGGGGTGTAGTTCTAACAATAAATTCACTTACACCCAATCCAGAGCTGTCCTTTGGATTCCAAGTTTTCTTCCATCTCTGTTTCTGATCTGTCTCTAGAACTGGCTATTCAGTGGCAGGTCATGCCCTTTCCTAGGACAGCACCTCTGTAATATTTATCATTTTTACAAAAGTATCGTTAGACAAACATTTAGTCTGCCATCTCTTAGCACAAATGAAACTTCACCTTGGCTCTTAGTTGGAAACTTTTTTTTCCATGAGAAATAGCTTTGAATGTCTAGCTAATTTAGGCAGAAAGAAAAAGCATTTTATGTATTTCTTCAAAATTCCTTTTAAGCTGATGAAAAAATAGCTTGTTATTCTTCTTACCAGAAGGGAAGGATACACTCCTTGTGCAGTTAATTTTTCTTCTGGAAGAGGAGTTACATGTGTTAGTGAAATTTGTTGCATGAAAGGCACTGATTGAACTCTATCGTACTGTAACATAGCTGGTTTCAACAGAATTGCTGTGCCTTTATGTATATAAATCTTGTACCTTTGTGATTTTCTTTCAGAAGGAGTCTTGGAAAGGTGAGTAAACTTAATAATTAAGATGGTTTTACACAATGCTTGGGTGAGACCTCTCTGTACACCTGATGGGACTCGGTGCTGAAGTGGAGAGATGCACTCATTCAGAAATGCAGTTCGTGCACTTGAAAAAAGGACATTTGCCTGAAGCAACATTTGTATATATTTTACAGTACTTCTTAATGGAAGATAGCTGCATAATTGTATTGTTTGCTAAGATGCAACTGATCACATTGATAAACTAAATCTAAATATTAGTTTTGAGAACAATTTTGGATCATAAATGATAACTACTTGTCTAAACACTATAATAAAAGCATTCTGGTTTCTGTGAAGGTTTTTCTATGCTCTCTGAACTGCATCAACACAATTCTAGCTTTAAGTGGAGTATGCCTTGTGCTAAGGAATAAGAACTGTTGATACTGGAAATAGGCAAAATGAGAATGCAGTTCCCAGCTGTTACTTCCTGGATGGTGTGATATTCCTCAGCCCTGACTCTGCTGGAGATATTTACCCCTCAGTGCTGATTCAGTGGTGCTGCTCATTGAACAGAAACAGCAATCATCTTGGCTTCAAAAGAGAAAATCAAAATACCTCCCAAAAGCAAAACAGGAAAACTGGAGGGGAACAAACCTCATAAAAAGAGACTTTGCTGCAAGGCAAAGTGCAGCAGGAAACCTCAGTGAATCTGCTGCTGTTGCACCATCTACTGTTTAGGACTGAAGTCAGCAAAGAGAACTTACAGGAGAGCCTTCCTCAGGTTATAGGCCTAGAATTGCAGGTGTTCTTTCTCTTTCAAAGAAATAATGCAAAACTGAATCTGTCAGGTAGTGGGTAGGAATGTGTGAGTTAATATATTGCATATATCCAATATGGGGTGATTTTTTTTTTTACCAGTTATTTTGTAAAAATCTAATAAAAGGCTTTTTATCCCACAATGGCTTTGTCCTCTGTAGGGTTACTCTTACACATCTGTCTCCTAACTGGGCTTTCTTTGTGAGCTCTGATAAATACTCCTTTGACTTGCTTTGGTAAAGCACTATCATATTTATTGTAGTTGCTCGTGGGCCTTTGATTTAATATTCAGTAAAGACTTGTTCAAGTTCGCATTCCCTTGTCTGGAACCTCATGCCCAAGTACTGCTTTGTGGTATTGAAAAAGAAATCATAATATAAACACAAGGATAAAATGTTAGTGATTTTTTTGTAGTTTGGTTGAACACCAAGGCTTGTGTCTTTTCTGAATGAGGTGTGAAGTTGATTTTTAATAACTGTCGAAATTTGGCTTAATTCCATAATGAGTTTTTTCCTCTGGGTTTTGGAGGAACAGGAAGAAAGGTATTGCTTTTTTGGTGCCATTATAACTGCTGAACTAGAGCTGGTGTCAGTATCAATCCTGTGGTTTGTTACAAGTTACCTTTTCAATCCTGCAGCTCTAACCTGTGTAAAAATCTTTGGGTAGCAGAGTGGGAAGTGCTGTATGTTTGCAGGCTTGTTATGTGTCTGTAGTTAGGGTCAGTATGTTGGATCAGGCTAAAAAAATTACACGCCCTGCTTAGATAGAAATTCCTTTTAAATCACATTAAAAGTGATTAAAAAAACCCAGTGAAACCACTCAATCCTTACCATCCTTTATCCTTTCTAACACCTAAATAGGAGCTGGATCTGAGTCTCCATCTGGGAGCAATGACACAGTTGTGCCCACACCTAAAAATGGCTCTACCCAGAACCTTATTCCTCAAGTGCCCAGAAGCAATTCCCAGGGCAGCAATGAGAACACAATGAGCATCAATGATGCTTCCTCCCTTAATACTCTTCCAATCTCGGTTTCAAAAATAAGGTACATCCAGAGCCCTGTGCAAGTTCTTCACACACCAACTCTAAGTGGCTTGCTCAGCTGAGAACTCCTACATACAAAGGAACTTCTGGCACCCATGTTTTTTTCCACTGATATTTTTTCCCCAAGCATGTTAAAAAACACCATTTTGTTTTGTTTTAAGCTTCTTTCCATCTTCCTCTATTTACTCCCTAGTTCTTATATTATATACAGCCTGCCTCCATCAGCTTTTTAGTACAGTCCATAGCTGAGCAGACTCTATTGCTAAGATGCAACTGATCACATTGATAAACTAACTCTAAATATTAGTTTTGAGAACAATTTTGGATCATAAATGATCACTACTTGTCTAAGCACTATAATAAAAGCATTCAATGCTCACACATTACATCTAGAAGAGAGTAACTTAAGTTATTCACCTTACCTTTGCTCAGCAGCTTGGCCTGTGCTTGGTCAGCTGTGTCCCTCACACGAGGGCATCACAGTTCTTCAGGGACAGCTAAACCTAAGATTTAAAGTGGTAACACCTTGTTTTGCCCTCTAGTGTGGTTTTAACACACTAAAGTTACCATGGGAAAAGAAAAGCAAGGAAAAAACACACAAATATCTCAAAAACAGCCCAGCTTGGCTGAATGGCCAACTAAACTTCAAGTTCATAGAGCTGCTCCTTGAAAATCCTGCCTTATATGCAGGTTGGGTCCTCCCCCCACCCTAATCAAGAGTAATTGGTGGTAATTAAGTTCTTCCTAGAGGAAAAAAAATGAATTGCCACTTTCTGTAAGTAAAGCACCAGCTGCAGCCATTGAAATTGATTTCATCCAGCTTTTCTTCTTTAAATAATTCTAATTTATTTGTATTTCTGTGGCAGCAGGTAGGTGGGTTTAAATGGTGGTTGCTTCTCCCAGTTGGCTTTTTGTCATTTCTTTGCAAGACAATTTTGTTATGTGTCACCTTTAGTTTTATTTTATCCTGTTGCTGCAATTAGCTGTCACTTGTGAGACTTTTTGAGGGGCAAGAGACCACCATGTTACTGTGAGGCTGCTCTGAAACTATCTGTGAGAGCATTCTAAAATACATCTCAGCATGACACACAGCTAAAAAAGAATGAAGTGTTACCAAAGAGAGATACAAACCATTGCCTGGAGTGCCAAAAGTATAGGAATACTTTATTGGATGAGGAGGCTGGGAAGTACAGGCTGATAGCATTTCTAGGAAACCTTTTATAATTAAGAAAATAATTTAGAATATAAATAAAGTTCTATATATACCAGATAGTGATTTCAACACACAACATTTGACCACATCACATGAAAGACACACCAATGCATGCCACCACCTTTGCTGAGTGCTGATCCTCTCTCTCAGCTGAACTTTTTTTGTGAAGTTCATGACCTGCTGGTAACCTGTGGTGGATAAAAGTATGCACCTTGGTCTCTGCTATAGCAATGAGCTATGCTAGTGATGAAAGCAGCCTGAAGGGAGTACACAGCCACAGTTTGTCCCTTTTGAGTTATTCAATTGAAGTTTTCTTCTCAGTTAAGGGCTTAGAGTGGTGCATTCATCCATAAAAATGTGGATTTTTAGAAATCCAGGAGCCTGATTTCCATTGGTGAATATGCTTACGGTCACTGTAATAAGTATCAGAGATAATTTAATGTGCACTGGAGAGTGAGCACTTAACTTGTACACGCTGCTTCTAAGTGGTCTTGAACATTAAACTCCTCTGGCTTTCTGTGGGCCTATTATAGAGACATTTTCTAAATCATCAGGTTTGTTTTATGGAAAAATAAAATGCATCTGGCCAGGACTACTTGCGTGTACTCACTTAATTTCAGTCCTGGGAAAACAGTCAAAATACTTATATGGTAATGGGCTAATTCCCATAACAATGAGCAGGGCTGATGAGATGGCTGGATAATCTATCCCTGGTGAGTACTACAGTCATTAATTCAGTTTTCTCAGTGCCTCCCTGATAGGTGGAGCTCTGGCACTGGTTTTTTTTTCCCCTCGATTATCTCGAGGCAGGAGGATGACAAATAAGGGATTATTTTCAATTAGTGGGGTGTAATAGAGAGGGAATGTGCAGTGCAATAAATTGTTATTTTGTGTACTTTTTCAGCTTAACACACCACCTCTGGTGTAAGTATGTCCACACATGGTTTTAATCAGAAGAAAGTACAATGCAGAGAAAGACCAATGTAATAAAACCCTTTTCCTTCCCCTCAGGCCACAAAGTCCTGAGGTCAGATAAACTGTACTCCTGTGTTTATAGCTAAGCCTACCCAAAACAAACTTAGAGGCACATAACAAATTAGCAAGAATTACCTTTGATAACCAGCATTATCCAAGCCACTTCTGCTTTACAAATGTTGGGCTGAGACACAGCATGCAGTAGGAGCAGTGTGACACCTCTGTCCTGGTGAGCTCACAGTGCCTTAATTAATGGCAGCAAAATCCTTCCCATGCTACAGCTGCTGGTAGCATGTAGAAGGAATGAGGGGTTTACTGATTTTCCTCTTTTTTAACAACACAGCATTTACAATATTTACAAAAAGCAAACCAGAAATCCACATGTGTACGTGGAAAAGCTTCACCGGCATTCGTGGTGCTCCTTGATAATAGAACTGAAGGCATTCTGGTGTAAACTGGTCTTCACTCTTTTTTCTCTTTGTCTTCTATTGCAAAACCAAACTCTCACGACTTCCTTCTCAAGACTGAGCCCCTCAGCCATCCTCATGATTTCCTGAGAAGATGGTTTACTTTGTTCTCCAAAGTGCCTCTCCAGGGCTTCCTTGGCAGCAATGCTGGAAACAGGGGGAAAATTTCACCTCTAAAAACTTTTCTGTACATTCAGGCTTTCACCATTAGTTCAAGAGAAAGATCAAGTAACAACACTGAAGGCAGTGACTTGGTTTGTTTAATCTTTCTTCACATAAAGGGAGCCCAAAGCATTAAAAATATTCTGTAGCTCTCTGCTGACACAAGCAGAGTGACATCGTACAGAATTTTGGCAAGGGGTGATTAAAAGGCAAAAATGGCATCAAGCTCAGTGCAATTTCAGTGTTAATTATAAAATATTCGTGCTTCTTGGTATTATCTAGAAGACACAGCTACTAACTAGTTATGAGTGGGGTCAAAGGAATTAGAACAAGCCTGACCACCCTTCTGCCCCAGCAAATGCACATCAGTGGTGTTACCTGGTTGTATCAAATCATTTGGGTTTACAGAGAGGAAGAGCTTCATCACTTAGATTTGGGACACACTGTGTGTTTTGTATCTCACTAATTATAGAGACAGCACTAGAGTATTCTTAGACATCACAGAGATTATGGCCAGCTGTTTTAGCCACCATCACATTCTCCAAATGTCTGCCCTCATCTGTTCCTCAGTCAGCAGTGATCAAAAGTGAGTGGTTCACTAAACAGAATAATTTAATACTGTTATTTTTTTCTTATTTCCAGATAGAATTTGCTTCCAATTTCTGTTAAATACTCTGAAAAACTACATATGTGACATGCTTGTGTGCCACTGGGAGGCATCCAGAAGTTTCAGCAGTAGCTGTAATTTCTTTGGACACGAGAGGGCACTTCATGCATTATTCTGGAAGTGAGGTGCAGGTATTTGCTACAGAAATACAGCATCTGCTCCAGTTCTAGTTAGTTCATCTCTTGGTCTTTCGTTTATGGGTCTTCTACATTCTACATTTATAGTTTTTCAATATTTAATGTTTAACAAAACTGGCAGAAGTATAGAAACATCATTACTTTTGACTAACAACTTCACAGGTTTTGAGCAAAGTATGAAATATAATACTTTCAAATTAATTGGGGCTCTGGAGGGTTATGCTGTTTTTTTTCACTAGAATATTTCCAAGTATTGCAACTTTTAGAAGCCCAGGATGTAGATATTCATTAATAGAAAAGAGCACTTCAATTTTGACAGAAGAAAAAGAAGCATCTTAGCCAAAATTGTTTCTTACCTGTAATAACCTAAATATTTATTACCTTATGGTGGTTCTGCGCTTCCTCTTCCGTTCATTCACCCCAACTTTTTCATTGTACAAAGCTGTATTAAAAAAAGAAGAAGCAGCCAAACAACAAAAGCTGGCAGTTACATTCCACAGGACTGGAAAACAAAAAATAGTCACTTTCTTTGAAGGAAGAAGAAAGCACAAGAGAAAGTGCTGCTGAATAAGAGGAGCATCACACGCAGGATCCTTCCATTGTTAGGATGGCTGGTCATTGTTTTACCTCCAATCATAAATGGTTATAGGCAGAAATTATTAGAAGCAAATGGCCTTTGCTTGTGGAAAAATCCCTGTACACTGCTAAATGGACTGTCCTGCAGATCCTACTCTGGCTCTCTACAGGACTGGAACTGGTTTTCTGGGATGGGACTGGAAGAAATTTCTTCCAGCAGCCCAAGAGATATTTCTGCTATTCTGTTTCAGTTTTCCTTGCATTTCAGTTTTCCCCTCCATGCTCATCCAAAAAAAAAAAAAAAGATAACTATACTTTAACACAAGCACGCCTCAGCATTTAAAGCTGGTAAAACAAAATCTTTAGTCCGCAGAATACACATAATAGCCCTAAAATATTTACATGGGATTCTTCTTGAAGTGCAAATCAATATTTAGAGGGTTTCAGCTCCCTACCTCCCACTTGTTCTGCTTCCTCCAGCCACTTGGACAGGATGGATTTCAGTTTGCAGGCGTTCTTGAAGCTCAGCTGCAAGTTCTCAAAGCGGCAAATCGTCGTCTGGCTGAACTCAGAGCCGTGCACAGCAGCCAGGGCCTCTCCAACGTTGGTTTGGGTATAACCTGCCAGAAACAAAGAGGAAAAACAGCTTTGAAGTTTTCTAGAGGGCTTACTTTCCTTGAGATGCTCAGCCCTTGGCTGCTGGCCCTCATGGTCAGTGTGTGCTGCAGAGCCTGCAGGCTGAGCGTCCGCAGAGGTCTCTGTGGCCAGCTGAGCTCACTGAGAGCCTGCTCTCTGTCCTGGTGGTTCCTGTGCAGTGTGACACTGATTTAGTGGAGTTTCACATTCCAGGTTAGGGATTTGAGAAGGTTACAAACACACCATGACTTTCTGTAGATGGTGCAAGAGCAATAATCCCTAGAGACACTGCTGGTATCCTGTTATTTGTTGAAACATCCAAGCTGAAGTCATCAGAGAGATGCTGCAGTTTCCTTGCAGACTCTGACTTTGCACCAACAGCTCCCTGTTCATTTCTCTGAATGTGGATCTGCCGTGGCTGAGGGATTGGATCATCATGCTTCTTTTCTGCTCTGGTGCCAGGACAAGGCAGGATCTCTTTAGGCACTCAGTGTCCCATGAGGCACCTTTTAACCTCCTTTTTGACTCCACTAACCCTGTGCCTCTCAGACTCACAACCTGTTTTGTCTTGTAAAGCTCAAACTCAGATTATTTTTCCTGTGCATATTGCATTTCTCCCATTCTACAGGCTCCATGTAATTTGCTTGCACCAAAGAAAGTTTTGTTGCCTCAAAAATTCCAGATGAAGATGCAGTGATTGACTATGTGTGGCCTGGCAAACACTTTCCATTGCTGTGGCTGACATCAAATAAAGGATATACAGGGAAATTGGCCAGTTTGCTATATTTTTTTAAATCCTAACTTCTTTTATTTCTGTTTAAACTGCAAATGGAACATACTGGCTTTCTAGCTGTTGAGAGAGTGCACACATAGCCCATATAACCTTATCATTTTATATAATTATTATTTATATAATTATTATTTTATATAACCTTATACATTTTTTAGTTTTATAAAATAAAAGGATTGCTTATAATTCTGATGCAATAAGTGATAATGTCAAGAACAACAGGGCAAAGCCCGCCTTTGTCCTCAGCAGAAATTCCACAGCAACAAAGATATCAATTGCTTTCCAACAGTGTCATGGCACAAAAAAATAAACCAGGAAGAGAAGCTTCCTGCTGGTGTGAAGGATTTCCCATGGATGTCACTCAGTGTATACTGAAATGACAGCAGACCATCAGATTAAACAGTCCATGGGGAAAAGAATGGGTATGGGAGGTTAGATGGTTATGAGGGTGAGAGGAATAGTGGATTTGTCTTTCCAAATGAGCTGTGGGTCTGCTGGTAGATAAAACTAGCACTGGGAGATAAAAGAAACAATGGGAAGGATTTCACTGATCGATGAATGGAAAAAGATATTTGCTTTTACAAATAAACTTTAGGTTTGCTGATAAACGAAATTAGACATTGAAAGATGAAAGAAGCAATGGAGAAGAAAAACCCCTAAATTCCATGAGTATTAAAAATTAAAAGGGAGGGTTATACATTAGAGGGAAATCTTTGGGAAATCTTCAGTGTCAGGTGTATCAGGGATTCTGTACCTCTCAAGTACCTCAGTCAATGGGGAAAGAGAGAAAGGAAATGTGGCTGGGAAATTGGGATAAAAAGGAGGCTGCATCTTCCAAAAATTTGAGAGATGCCAGGGGAATGCCCCATGGCCTCTCCCTTTATTGAAATAAAGTAAAAGGACTCCTCTGTCTCCTTTTTGGACATAAACCTCTGGTATTTGTGGATTAATTTCCCTGACAAGGGCTATCTGCCCTAAGTTGCAGATAATTTGGAGCTGTGCAAAATATTGCACCTGGCACTGAATAGAATTTATTGAACATAAAAAAAATTCTCTGCATTTAACACAAATAATTTAAGGGCAAGAAAGTTTAAAGTCTCTTTCTGCAAAATAAAAGTTCATTAATTCCATGGAAGTCTTCTAGGAATGGAGGAGGTTTTGCAGGGCGAGGCAGGATTGGAGTTATGATGAGACAACAGCAGAGGCCAGACCATAAAACAGAAACAACTGTGCTTTCATTGGACTCTTCCAGCCTTTTGTTCGTGGACATGAAGCACATACCCAGCTTGATTCTCCGCAGCTTGAACTCGTTGGCGAATTTCTCCAGCTCCCTGATCTCGGGGGAGTCCATGTCCACGGGCTCCTCGGCGGGCTTGCTCTTCCTGCGGAACTCCTGCTTGAACTCCGCGGGCTCCTCGGTGAGCAGGGGCTGGGGCAGGGCCGCGAAGCCGTGGCCCAGGGCACAGGAGCTGGCACCCAGCGCGTGCTCCGGGAACTTGTACAGGCAGGGCGTCAGGCCACCTGGGAACGCAGAGAGAGAGCTCACGGCACTGCTTCGCTGCTGCTGCACTGGAAAACCTCCCCTCATCACCTCCTCATCCCTGACGGCAATTTTAATTATATATTACACATTGGAGAATCCAGGAGTTAGAGTTTCCTAGGATGTGTTTTCTCCTTTTGTCCCAGCACATGGAAACCTATCAACAGCCCCTTTCACCAGCCATCCTATTGTTAGCATTCAGAAACACATAATCATTATATGGTGGGTGTCAGGGATACAAACCCAAATCTGATTCCAACATGGGTCCAGGACGAACACGTTTTTATATTCTATCGTTATATAACTTTCATGTTAATTATTAAACTTCTATTGTTCTATTGTATACATAGATTTCATCCAAGCATAGGCTCCTCGTGGTCCTCCTCAAGCTTCTAACATAGTTTCTCATGATTCTTCTTACGATTAAACAATAATTGTATTTAATTACTAAACAATCATCACATCTAACAATTATATCATTTATCATATACTGCTTACGCATGTGCAATTTCACATGATCTGGCAAACACAAAGCCTAACATTTTCAGAGTCTATTTTTAACATTTTTCCAGGGCCCCACTAAGTCTAGCTTCTTTCTAATTTGCCGACTTTTATGATTTTAAAACCTTTTACTATCACTTAGCAAACTGAAGCACTTAAATAAGAGGCAAATGGTCTACACTTACACAAATAAAAATCCATGCTCTAAGCTGAACTTGAGTGGCACAACAAGAGTGATGGATCTGTCATTTTGAGTCACTTAAAATTTGCCAGTCTCTATTTTCTGGCACAAAGAATACTTCCATGTAGATGACATTTGATGCTCAGACAAGATACACTCTTGGCTTAGCATGGAAGTCTATCAACAGCCCCTTTCACCAGCCACAGCCATCCTACCACTTAGCAAACTGTGAAGCACTTAAATAAGAGGCAAATGGTCAAAACTTACGCAAATAAAAATCCACGCTCTAAGCTGGAATTAAGGGGCACAACAAGATCAATGGATATGTGCCATTTTGAGCCACTTAAAATTTGCCAGTCTCTATTTTCTGGCACAAAGAATACTTCCATGTACATGCCATTTGATGCTCAGACAAGATACACTCTTGGCTTAGCTGCAGCACAGAATTTCTTTGAGGAAAGTACACAGGTAAGAGCTCAAAGGGAAAAAAACCACCAACAAAAAAACCCTACAACTCATTCAGAATGATCTTTGAAAAAGAAATTGCTCCAGGATAAAACAGAACTATTTTACACCACCTTTTGTTCCCAAATGTCAGACTTAACAAGGAGTTAAGAATGAGGGCTGATTTTTCCCTAGATATTGTACATAGAGATAAAAAGTCTCTGACCTGAGGGAGGCATGGGGGGAATTATTGGAGAAATAGTAACACTCCTCAGTGTATCTGGAGCAGCCACTAAATTCCAGGTTCTCAGGTCATCTTTCCCAATTTTCTAAACTACACAAAACTGTGTAGAAGAACTCAGAACTTCATTAACCTCCCACTGCTGCCTCCATTTATTAGAGCTAGGTTTTTCATTACTGCCCCAATTACTCCCATCAATGTTGGAGATTCTGACCCCATTGAACTATTTAATACACTCCACACAGGAAAACCACAAAAAAAAAATCTCAAAAAATGATGAAAAATGCTTTAAAAGAGGAGGACTTGCTTTGCAAGGTGCTGACACCATTTACCACATTGGGGTGAGGCATGCTGCAGGTCTGTAAGATACGAGTCTGGGAGAGACTTGCTGAGAGCATCTCTGGAGTTGCAGACTTGATGCCTAAGAAAATAAAGTAAGAAAAGAAGGTGAAAATAAGAAAAAAAAAAAGAAAGGAGAAGAATGAAAGGGTATTTCTTTTGACATTAAAGAAAACTAATTTCTGAGCAATATAATTTATTATTACTTATTAAATTTCCCCAGAGACTTGGACAATGCTAGGAATGTTTTCAAAGGCACAGAAATGCATGATGGAATACAAGAATTTGAAAATTTGCATGCCATGATGGAAGCCTATATTCTGCCCAACTCGGCAGACATTTATGCTGATTTACTCTAGCATTTCTTTAATTCTTAAATGAAATAAAATTCTGAGTTTGATTTTGGATTATTTCCAAGTCCTAGTTGTTTCCTGGGAGTTATATTAACTTGGTTCATGTAATTGTCTCATTGACTGCTACTTAAACTTGCATAGAGCAAAAGTGCCTCACTCTTTCTGAGCCTGGGACAGGGAAGAATAAGCAGGATGCATTCATGAGTTTAAAAATCTATGATCACATGGCTGATCTGTCTGCTGCATTCACCTATCCCTTCATTATGCCATAAATTTATTTTATAGCTTCAGCCAGGGCTGTATCAGTCCAGGTACTGGTCACACCCAGGTGTGCTGGGTATGTCACTTCTGGCCCTTCAAAAAGTGATAATCACCAGCAGAAGTGGCCAGAGGTGGGCAAAAAGAGCAGGACTTTCCCAGCCTTGTAGGGAGACATAAGATATGGAGTGATTTCACAAGAGATGCAGAGGTTTGGGAAGCTCTGGGCACTAATTTCCAAACCCTTTTTCTAGCGCCTCAATCCAAATCCCATCTTCTTTAAACGATTGTCTTGGATTGATCCCTCTAAAGCACAACTGGCTCAGACCCACACTCTGACAGCTCACCCAGCTGAGGTTTGGCCCCTTACCTGCCATCACCCCGTAGGTGGAAGGTTGATTCCCATAGTGACAGGAGGGCACGGAGTAGTGCAGGCCTGGCCAAAGGTGTCCCAGCGTCGTCGTGGCAAAGCCAACGCATGAACACGCACGAGTTGGGAGCAAAGAGAAAACAGACAGGACTCGTAAGAACTCAAGGTTCAAGGCACAGCCTTGAAGTGTGAGGCAGGCAGTGCCTTCTGTGCCTTCAGTTCCTCAGAGGCAGGACTAGGAACTGCCATGCTGTCCCTTGGTTTTGATATAACCTATGGGCATAACCCAGTTTGCACAAACTGATGAGCAGGGGAAGTATTGCACTCTTAAGGAGGAGACCTGTTCCTCTCTTCACTCAACTTCCCCACACTGATTCATTCAACCTCACACAAAAACTAATTCTAGGGTCCCAGGAACCCTATAATGCTTTCACTCTCAAGCAAACCCCACAGCAAACAAAGGCCTAGGTTTCCAAAGGCAGCAGTTTGGGACATCTGCTTTGATGCATCCAAAGATCACAACTTCTTCAGTGCCAAGCAACAAAAAGCATTTCAGAGTGCTTTGGTGAGACAGAGAAACAAGATGGTAAATTCTGGATTCTTCTGAAGTCGGGCCTAAATAAACATTTTCCATCACCAGCACCAACAAACACGCTGTTAGTTTTATCTCTTGTGTTCTCACAGGGGTATTTTGGATCTGTGCTCAGTAATAGCCAGTGCCTGAAGAATGAGACCATTTTTTGCTGAATGCAATATAGAGATATGGCTGTTTCTCATGTATAAGTAGGAATAAAAATGCATGTACTGTCCCCTCTAACAACTACAATAAAACAGAATATTAAATATTAATGTTTATGAACATTCAGATATGTAAGACCACATTTTAAAGAACACATTCCTGTTGTTCAAAACAGTCTATTTAATTAGGGATTAGAATATTTGGGTTTTAGAACAGTAATCATAACAGTAAAGTGTCCCATTTAAATATACTTGTGCAGATATAAAACCTACTAGGACAAACATGCTTATACTAATGCAGATGCAGTGAAAATAAAGACTTTGTTAATAACTGTAATGCATGTAGAGCAATTCAACTTTGCTGTTAAGATCTGATTTTTACTGGTTGCATTTTCCACTATTTCATAATTCACATACTATAAATTTTATGCATGAACATACAATTTTTGACCTGCTAATCATGATTTAAAATTAAATAGTGAGGATGATGCTATTTAAATGAAATAATAGCAGTTACAGTGTTGAGGATACTGCAGAATATCAGCTGAATGACACAGCATAGTATTTGAACTGAAGTATTTTCATCTTTCTTGTGATGAAGAATTGTTACATCCATTTTTAAAACTTCTGACATTTAAAATAAGTTGTTATTCAAAATTCTTTCACCATTATATTGTACACAAATTCTCCTCATGTGCGCTCAAAGTCGCACTTTTTATGACAGTTCCTTAACCTATGTATGAAATTTGTAAATCTTGACTCATTATAGTTACTACTCTCTGTTTCTGCTTTCCTAGGGTGGTTTTTTCGCAGGATCATCTTCTGGATGTGGTCAACAACCAATATTTCCATTGACTGCAGTGGTATTTGTCCTTGGGTGGCAGATACAAAATACCAAAACCTGAACCTGTGGCAGGTGAGCATCTGCTCTGGGCCAGCCCTCATCGTGTCCTTTCCATTACAAGTCAGGTGAATCTGGAAAATACTGCTGTCATACAGATACATAAATTTGACCTCATACAAAATTTAAATTCTCCTATTCCCTGCCACTATTGCTAACCCACAGCTGTATTGGGATATTTTGAGCCTTTTGCTTAATGTATAAGATGATCCTGTTTTCTCTTACCAATAATCAATTTTCACTACATACATGCTCTTTCTTTTCATTAAAATGCTTTATTACCAATGCTTTTCAGGAAAAATCTACTTTCTTGTTAAGACTCCAAATAAAATTCTAATATTAATGCAATTTCAAATAAATCAACTATTTCTTTTTCTTTCCCTGAAGGCTTTCTATCAACAATTCCTGTATTCCACAATCCCAACTCTGCAGTATTAACACTGCAAGAAAACTCTATTTGGCTCAGATATTTAGTGATTAAATAGTCCTAATATTTAAATGCATCTAATTGGATTGTATACACGAATATACAAGATTCAAAAATAATGACAAGATTTCTACTAACCATTTTGAACATCACACTTAAACCTTAGTGTTGAATCCAGTTTGCAATATGCCTTGCAAAGCAATGTTTTTCCTTGTTTAAAACTCCCCCAAGCTATATTTACACTTGTGGCCTTTTAAATGTATTTCCTATTTAAGGCAATTTATAATATTTTAAATTATGGTTACATAATAAACAACCTTTCAATTATTTTAAATGACTGCTGTCGATGAAGACTGTAGTAATACCAAAAACAGTGTTTGAACCTGTTCTAAGTTGGCAGCATATTTGAGTCTAATCTTGTCACAAACTTAAAGAAAATTACGTATTTAGCTAAAACACAAACATTTGTGCTTTTCCTGATCCACTCATATGCAGGGTTTTGTGAAATTGCTTCTACTTTGGCATAGCCCCAATCATACATAACACTGACACGGAACACTTTAAACACTGAGAACTCAATGAACTCCTCTATCACCCAAAAATTACAAATGAAAGCAAGAGTATTTTCAAAAAGTACCTGTAGACACAACATTGGTGGTGTGGTTGGAGACCTGCAGGCACTCTGCAGCGCTGTGGTGCATTATCAGAGGCAGGGAGGGAGAAGAGTCAGAATTCAAGGGCACAAAGGTGTCTGAGGAAGCAAATGCTTGGCAGCTCATACCCTCCCAGAGGCGAGAGAGCTGCCTGTCCCGTGTTCTACCAGAGCAGATCCTGCAGGATTGATGGCACCTCAAGCTCTGTTCCAGGATTTCACCTGGATATACACTCAGAGGAGGGCTCCAGAGCACAGGGAGGTCGTGTGCAGGTATTTATACCACTAGGAAATCCCTTTATCCATTTTAATGTTCTTTTCCCAGCAATATTGCTAGCCTGGTACAGAGCCTCCTTCCTTCCCACACAAACACAATACGTGTCCAATTAATGGAGGGGCGGGGGAAGAAGAGGGAAACCAGAGACATGATTTGACAGATATTTTCAATTAGGTCTTTTGTGGAGGACAATGACTAGAAAAAAAAATTAAAATATCGTCTCCAAAGGCGGTGGCAACAGACAAGTGAGTTTAATACCAAGTAGGTTTCCACAGTTAACACCTGCCTCCAAAATCTCATCCAGGCAATTGTCTGCAAGGCAACCTGTCTGAGAGCTCAAGCAGAAGCCTGCAATAGTCAAGAACCTATAGCAAAATAATCTGAATTAACCTAATTCCCAGCAGTAGCACAGTGATCATTTGTCTTGACCTATACCAGTATAAATCAGAGATGTGTAATATGAAGCAGCTGTAGCCAGAAGGAACTTTTTGAACAGATAGCTTTCCATAAGCATGATGTGCTCAATGTTTATCTAAAGGTTTATCTAAGATAAGCTCTTGACAGAGTCCATGGTGTCCCTTAACACTAATTCACAGTTCCTCTTATTGGTTTATACTACTGCAGCATCTGAAGTCTTCTCCTCAAGATCATAAGGAAAATCAAGATCCTTAGTCAAAGAAGAAAAATGTTTTTTTGACATGAGACTAGAATAATTTTGGAACACTAGAGAGCATACAGGTTACCCTAAAAATGATGAAAAATTCTGCAGTACACCATAGTCTCATATTCTATGTAGATGCAATAAAGGTGGGGTTGGTTTGGTTTTTGTTACCAAAGACGTTTGGTCATATTTTATATGAAGATGACAATATATTTTGGGTGTTTTGCATTCCAAACTGGGTTAAATGTCTGAACTAACATTTTGACTACAACTTCAGATACATGAGATGGGAGCAATCATACTTGTAATTGCACCATTTTTCATGTGTTACTGCAGAAAAGTGGCATTGCTTTGAGCGATTCTGCAGAATCCTTTAAGTGTGCTTTGGGAAAGGCTGTGTCTAAGATTGTGAAGAAATTCCAGAATTCTTGCATATTGCAAACTGCACGTGTCTTTAACAGTGGTTATCTACTGCTTAAGCAGGTACTTTCAGATTGCAAAATATACCAAAAAATCAAAATAATTGTTGCAATATTATGGAAGACACTGTCGTTAAATGAACCCCATCTGCATTACTTTGGGGTGGCTCAGTGTATCCTAATGTCTGTGGATTCATATAAAAATTATTTTAGTTATTTTCCCCTCCTTTTCTCCCTCACCAAGAGGCATGATAAATCTAACAGCAGGTCCCCTCCACATACCAGAGTTTTGAAGCCACAGGAGAAAAAGAATAATTTTACATCCCTGTCTTTGACAAATTTTTTTCCTCAAATCCCAACAGGTGTCACTGTAGATAGTGATTCGGTAAACAGCAAATTTACAGTTTCACTGGAAACTCATGTCTAGATGCAAAGAAGATGCAGCCTGTCCCCAAGTAAAGGATGGAGCTCATTCCAGATTTCCCTTTCCTGTCCAGGTCAGGAGAAGCTTACCCAGCTTTGCCCAGGTGCTCAGGCTTTCCAGACCTGTGGAGTTCATGGATGCTGCTCACCCACAAAACCCAGAACTGATTTGGATTGGGAAAGTAAATTCAGTCAGGAGTGACAAGGCACTGAGCTTCCCTTCAGAGTGCAGCATAAAGGTGTTCTGTGACAGCATTCCAGACACCACCTCAAATGAGTTTTTTCATGCCCATTATTATGTTTTATAGTGCTGAATAAAAAAACATTCTAATTTTGCATGTTTGTGCTATATCACCCACTTCTTGCTAATAACATCACCATTTTTCATTTTCATTATGACCAAGCTTCTTTAGTTGCATTCAGTTTCAAATGAAGGGTTTTTTGCATTATTTTTGAGGATCCTGTAAAGCTGGATTATTACCAATACTAGGTATTGGAAAAAATTTCACATTCAGCAGAGCTCATTTCTAATACAAATAGTACTTCTCATAAAGCTTTGTTACCAGCCTCCACAGATACTGTGCTAAGGCTGCAGATTGCCTGACCCAAAGTTACCCTATATTCTGATTTCTTGGTCAGTTTTAAATCTCTGCTTCACAGCACACAGTTCAGCTGAAGGCTTCTGGCAGGAATTTCAGGCCACTGACTAAAGAGGTAATTCCTTCTCTACAATTACAAGTGCTCTCTGTTCAGAAGCTCAGAAAGGGAGTTTTCTGCCCTGAAACCCAGACCCCATTCTCCATTTGGATGGTGCTGGTAAATGTCACACAAGCCCATCTGCTTCCTGCTGAATCCTCAGTTAAACTGGCCTTCTGGGGGGCAATTACTTCTATAAGGATGATGGGGGGAAATGAAGATTTATTGGATAATTCTGAGCTTACCTTAATGTCTTTGCTTAGGTTGAACTCCAATCCTTATTCCATGTCAGTAGACTGATTCTTTGCCCCATAAATCTCTTCTGATTGAATCCCAAAATAATGAAGAAAGCCATCAAAACCCACTGAGGGTTTTTAACACAGCATGAAACTGTCTGTTTTAGAGGCAAAAAGATCCCTTCATGTGGTTTTCTTAGCTCAGAAATAGCATCCCAGTGTAAGATCTCAGGTCTGGAAAGGGAAACGCCACCATTTTCCTCCACAGGAGCACAGCATTTCTGTTCCCAAGAGATCATTCCATGCTGGTCAACAACATGGATTTCCAGCCTCACCTTTGCCAAGAACCACAAAATTACAAAGAAAATCTGGCACAGTGCAAGTCTCGGCAGCATCTTTCATTCATTCATTCCTTTTCCCAGGTCTCCAAGCCCTTTTGTAGATAAATTGAAAACTATAAGGCTTGTACAAATAAAGAGCTTGCAGAGGTGGGAGTCTCAACAAATCTAATCACTATGACAGTCCTGCAGCTGAAATATATCCCACTGAAAGAGTCACTCACACATTTACACTCTGCAGAGGAGTGTATGTCTGTCTGTCTGTGTGTCTATCCTAATAATGGCTCTTTGGGAAGTGTGCTTCATTTTTGCCTTCACTGCACATGGAGAGGGTGATCTTCAACTCTATAACACTGCAATTTGCATCCTGCCACCCCATACACTTTTGTACAATGTACTCATGTGTAAATATTTGTGTCACGTTTCATTTCATTCAGAATGCTGAATTTCCCAGGTTTTAACTCTATAATTTCATGGCTATTTTTCACTGGGTTGGGTAAAAACTATAAAACCGCTCTAGAGATCTGCATATTTCTGCACTTTTACCCAATTCTTCCCCTTGTTTTTCCTGTGCAGAAAGTCCTTGAAGTGCAATAACTATGCTCATGTCATTGAAATGCCCACAAGGGAAAGGGGGTTTACTTCCCACACTGTAAATGAAAAAGACATCTCTAAGTGCATAACAGTGTGCACGGGGAAAAAATAAATCTTTTTTCTTAGGTAAGACACAAACTGACTCACAAACTGTCTGTGTATGCCATGGAGAGTTTCATTCAGGAGGGAGGGTGGATTAAACACTTTCAAGGAAGACACTTTCCCATGGAGCAGCACAATGCAATTTGCTTTTTAAAAACCTATAGAAAGCCTATCCGGTCTTGCTGCCAAAGTCTGGCTCACTGGAGTCTGAGTAAAACACATGTGCAATTGCATTAGAGCAAACAAAAGCCTTAAAGCCTGATTTAGGCCGAGTGGGACTACTTGATAAAGACCAGAAAGGATGCAAGATTAGTTGTTTCTCTGAGCCACCTGTCCCTAACTTTAGATCACCTCTGCAGAAAAGAGCCCCCTGAACGTGCAGCACAGACATGATCTGTTATCTGCAGGGAAAGGTGCTGTTCCCACGGCTCTCAAACAACAACCTGAGCCAGGGCAGCAGCTCCCAGCAGAAAATATGGTTAAATTTATCTATGAAAGCCACAATCTGAAATAACAGACACAAATTCCACTGCTTTTCTTCATGCTCCTTGTCAGACTGATGGTCCTCAAAATGATTCACATTGTAAATATACTGGTGGAGACCCTGACACCTAATGGAAGTGATCCAAGCTCATTCCAAGTTTTATTCCAGTGAAAAACAGGGTAGGATCATAACTGCAAACAATTATGACTGGGACCAGAGTAGGGACCTACACCAGGAATGAGTTAATCAAGTATGAGGGGTAAAAAAACAACTTGCACTCAACAACTTTAAAGCATTTACAAAATATTGCTACAGACCATGATTTCACATTTGTTAAAGGCCAGGTTTAAAACTCACATCTATTGCAATTGACTCATATTCAGTTTTTTCTGGATGATGTAACAACAACTTCAGTAGAAAAAGTCTTTTTTCCCATAGTTTCCTTTGGAAAATCAGAACTTTTCCACAGAAAGAAACAAATTTATATACCCAGTTATAAATTTAAAGCCACATAATGCTATTTCTAGAAACCTAGAGTTTTCAGGGACCTAGAGTTTCTGTGCTTTTATTCTTCTCCAAACGCCTTTCTTCAATTTTTCTTATGTCATTTCAGAGAGGGGATCTGTAGCCCCAGGAAGTTTTCATCATGCTACAGTAGCCAAACCATTAATTCTTTCCCAGTTTTGCATTTCAAGGCACAGGACAAACATTGTTTTCACAAAGCTTTTGTAAATAATCCAGTACAAATGCAGTGCAAGTGGTACTTTGAGTCTTGCACGTGCACGTTAAAGTTTCACATAACATAAAATGGAGCAAAATATGCATCGTCTACTTCTGAGTTTATACTTTCATTAGCAGAACACTTTTTTCTCAAATGCTGTTAATCAACAAGTCTTG